GGCAACGGGGAGCGAAAGTGTTTTTTACTTGTAAAATTAGAATAACATAATTACTCGAAATAAGTGAGATAATTTAAGTTGATTTTCTCTATTTAGTTGTTTATTACTATGAGCTTAACAGTTTCATGGAGATCATTCAGACTCATATCGCACATATGTATATATATTATTCTCAAAACCGAATTTATTACTTTGTAAAACCTATTAGATTTAATAAGTAAGATTTCAAATGAAGTTGATGTAAGAGACTATTCTAGACACCTTACAAGAAGACAAACAAAACTACCTGGAATCTTCACGGTGTGGGCGTTTATGCAATGTTTAACTGCATGGTATTGCAATAAAGAAAATAATATCTAAGTCCAATTTTGTTATTAGGGTAATAAGTTGCGTTTTTATTCACTATAGGTAGATAATGAACATCATTGCCGGAACAGTCTTACGTCACCCAAATGTTTGCTTCTGATAATGGTACATTCGAGACTAAAACAAGGATCAGAATGACACTGATCAGATAAAGTCTACGTTTAACGTCCTATTAACAAATAAGGTCATTTAAGCACGTGCCTCCATGTGTGTAGTGTATGCGTGCTTGCGTGTGTGTGTGCAGGAGACAAGCTATGTTGGTGCGCTTGCTTCCTTGTGATAGCGCGGATCTGATGCCGACTCTATAGTGCCATCTTACTGAATTGCCATGCCGAAGGCACCCAGAACAACATTCCCCCGGTCACATTATACTGACAACGGGTGAACCAGTTGTCGCAATTCCCCTAAAAGCTGAACGTAAAGCAGTCAGTATCAAAGTTCTACCATGTTGAAGGACTTTGGTATGTCCCGGCCTGGGGACAGAACCCATTGCCTTCCTCACTTGGGCGAACGCTCAACATTAAAGCCAAACGTGATGTGTTGCCAAGCAAGGTGCTAGGAAATAAAGGTAGTTAGAAGTAAAAAGAAAGATAAAGATCCCAAATATTGCAATGGACGCAGCGGATTAATTTTGGTCGCTTTTGTGTCCCCAAATAGAGGACACCAAAGCAAATCCCCAATTCTGCAGGGGGTTCCCACATTATTCGCAGGTGTATTCTTTTCCCGCTCCCCCGCCTGCAGTGGCGACCATAGCCCCAAGCGACTTCCTTTGGTAGTGGTCTATACAGGGGCTTTGTGCAAAATATTTATATATATATCACGTAACCTTCTTACACAAAATTTGGACTAGAAAGTATTCACCTCCATCAAATAGTCAACTTTGGTGTCATTCTAAGGGTATTCTTTTTGGCGGTGTAAAAGTTGCAGTTAGAATATCAGGCACCAATGCAAGCCTCGGTTTGACCACACATTTTACTCTCAAGAGAAACGTCCATGTCCTTTACGTATGATAGACAATTCATCTTACATAGCGTCCGTTATTGGATATGTCGGTATTGTGTCAGGAAGTTCGATATCCGATCACCACTGCTTACTCACACTGTATGTCTTTTATCTACGTTATTATTCAGCGCCATTTATTATGCTGTCAACTACATTTGTAAACACCATAGTAGTGTTTTGTGACACATCTACTATGTCCTAATTAATTAGAACGGGAGTAAAGGTAAAAAGGTGATCTAATATGGGTGACAGTGTGCGCGTGTAATGAAATGATGTTGATAAATAACATAATTAGAAAATTTGAGCTGAGCGTTCTAACTCGGCATCAAATCAACAATACATTAAAAAAAAAAAAAAGAAGAGAAATAACAAGAATTTGTACAAGAAAATGACCCTTTCAAAATCAATTTCAATTTTGAATTGATAAGTGTTATAAGGATCTGGCAGATCTGTTGTAATAATTGTGACGTCATTATTTAAACGCTTGTGAAATTACAATTGAAATATAATGTCGAATTATTACATATGTAAAAAATAATGTCGCATAGAGAATATTTCATAGCTTCCCGTTGAATACCATTAATATCTCACGTTTATAGTTTTCATGAGGACGAGTTAAAATGAAGATATAGTATGGCATACGAGTGATAATGAAGATATAGTATAGCATACGAGTGATAATGTAGATATAGTATGGCATACGAGTGAAAGATGTATGATATATAATATTCAACGGGAACACATTGAATTTCCATTTATTATATTTTTAAAGCAGCATGACGCAAAAACTGCTGTATCAAAAAGCGCGGGATTTCGTAGCGTAAAATGATGACACAAGTTCTGATGACGTCACGCTTGACAAGGCAGAGTGTCATTTTAAATGGGTTACTCAACGCACTTATATCTTTGCTGCTATTATTTGGTGAGATTTCCAAGCAGAATTAAATCAATTGTGTAGTTATGTAAACATAATGTATGTTGCAAAGGCGTAACAAAACTACCACTTATTCTGCCGTCGCTTCATCTGAACTTGAAACTGAAAATCTACGTAGTGAATTGAAAGTAACGTTCTGATTGGACAATATTAAAAGTGATATGTTTATCTGTTAATCGTTCGTGAAACCTGCCCTGTTTTTAAGTATTCTCATATCAAATTAAATAGCTGTAATTTTCAAATCTAAAACGTCGCTGGACAATATGCGATGGATACTGGTAAGATAGTAACTGTGCTTTTAAGAAACTTGTTGGACACAAGTATATTGAAATACCTTGTACTATTAAATAAAACATCTTCTCTCTAACATATTCACATATATTCACATATACTAATTACACTCTGGAAAACTACAAATGAATCAAAATTATGTTGATCATATGAACAATAAAATTCGTAAAATTTCAATTAGAATTCTTATTAGAATATGAGTATTGTTATAAGCCAAGACGAGGTGTTTAGATCACGGAGCTAGGTCAAAGGTCAAGTATGCGATGAAATATTGTTAGTTTTTCTTTTTCACATTTTTTTTAAACAATGAAGCTATTCACTTGTAATACGGTCACTCGACCAACAGCTTCTTCATGACTTGTCGATTAACATGTAGCCATAGTAATGTAGGAAATGTCTTCCTTTCACAGAGAAAGACAGGTTCCTACCGGACAAAGATGGTAAAATGTCAAAGAAGATGTTGAGTTTTTTATCATTATCGCCAATGGAACAGCACGAAGAGCTCAGAAGGTGGCTACGATTTTTCGTTTACGAAGTGTCTCCGGCAGAATACGCAAAATTAATGGCGGATTTCAAGGAAACGGTGAAAGACCTTAAAGAAAATCAACAGAAAATGAAAAGTATTTCCGATTTGGATATTCAAACATTCTACAGGAAAATTTTATTCCAGAAAATTTTAGATATTCAGGACAAAATTGTTGACATTTACCACCAAAAACGTGAAAAACAGGACGAAATTGTCAAAGAAGGATTTGATATCCTCACAAAGCGACTGATTGTTGGTGACGATATCTCCTTCTCAAACACCGTCCGATCAGACGATCTCCAACAGGTTTTGTTGGATCTGAAGCTTCTGGAAAACGAGAAAAAAGTAGTGGTGTCGGGGACACCACTGAAGTCGAAAAGTTACGAAAATGTCTTGGAACAACTGCAAGAATGCGAGCATAGTGCGGCGGTCGAGACACCCTCGACTGGGTCGTGTTCGAGTAGGAAATCGTCGCCATTACCAGAACTTCCGGTGGCGGATTCCCGGTTCGCCAATGAGCTACTACTAAGTGTAAGTATCATGTTATTCGTGTGCCTGACGTCGTAGCTATTACTGTAGTTTCATTCTATCGAATGTCTTTGTTTGTCATTTTTAGACATTTTCATTCTGTCTTGGAGCGTTTGTGACTGACTTACATACTCTCCTGGACTTGGCCAGAGACATTGTGAAAAGAACTACACGTGGTGCTCAAGTTATTTCATTCAGAATCTACTGAGTATCTCACTTCACCATAGGTATTTTTTGGGATTTTATGACTGATTTCTTTTTGTGTTATTTTCTCCTCAGTTTTCATTTTGACTTTGCTATGGACTAATGGAGTGACTATTACGTCTTTCCTTGTGTGCTGACGCTGTGTTATATACTATACGGGTTTGCTTTCGTCTGTAATCAGTTTCCTCCTGTTGTAAAAGCTTCGTTCGTATGCATATGATTTCGGAGTGATGGTATACATAACGGGTATTATTGATGTTAAAAGTATTTCACCCCAGCTAAATGAAGCGTTTTAACTTTATGACATTAGAATGTATTTTTTCGGTTATGGTGTGAAAAACTACTGCCTCATATTCCACCACAATCGATCCAGGCGCAATCGCTTCCCTTTTACTCCATACCAGCACAACATAATTGCAGCCATGAAGGCGAAACTTTCTTAAGATCTTCATTCATGTTATGATATGCCTTTCAGAAAAAGCTAGCAGTTGTTCTGATTCGTGAATAGAGACTGGTGAGTTTTAATGCGCTGTAGGAATACGCTGGTGGTGTTTTCCTTTCTGTAGCCCGTGAGTAGGTCGCGTTAATGAGTAGGAATACAAATGGTATATTGACCACACATATATTGGTCTCTGCCATCTCTAATCATTATTATTATACCTTCTGTTAAAATCTCGTAATCTGATTGGTGGAGAAAGATGTGAACATTTTCAATGTTACTTGCTCGTTTTACAAAGATAAAGAAGACAGGGTGACATTCCAAAAAATATCACATGCGCCAACCGTATGCGTGCACGGTTCGTCCCAGTGCCAGGGTGTTATTCCAAAAATTGTTACATGCGCCAAACGTATGCGTGCACGGTTCGTCCCAGTGCCAGGTTGTTATCAAATCACATTCATGGTTGGTTCATTCGACAACTGTGGAGATGAAGTCTTGGTTTATGTCAAATCAACACAAGGACCTTTAAAAATGTTGAAGTGGTGAAACACCTAAACATGACACTCGGTCAACAATGCTTCCTTGGGGTGAAAATATGCAATATCGCCTTCTCATGAATGTGATTTTTATTTTAATATACCGAGTGTCATGTTTAGGTGTTTCACCACTTCACCATTTTTAACAAACGCATCGCCAGTAGTCGACAAACGTTTCAGAAAAGTTTTCACTAGGATGAACCAGGGGCGCATACATTCGGCGCATGTAACAATTTTTGGAATAACACCCTGGCACTGGGACGAACCGTGCACGCATATGTTTGGCGCATGTTATATTTTTTGGAATGTCAACCTGTCTTCATTATCTTTGTAAAACGAGCAAGTAACATTGAAAATGTTCACATCTTTCTCAACCAATCAGATTACGAGATTTTAACAGACGGTCAACAATGCTTCCTTGGGGTGAAAATATGCAATATCGCCCTCTCATGAATGTGATATTTATATAATATCAACTGTCTGGTCTTATTAGAAGTAGTACCAAACAGCCTGCGCTATCGGTCTTTTTAATATATTTCTGCCAGTAACCGTGATATACAGAATCTGCTTAGCTCTGCTATTGTCGCGCGGTTGTCGATGCTGTATATAAATGAGGCTGTATGTTTCATGTCTGTTATACAATGGTATATCATAACGTATACGACTGTTTACTGAAGCGCTAATTAGTTGTAGCAAAGATATTAATTGAGTGAGAATTAATTACAAAGTCCAAAAACCAATAATGTCCTTGATATGTACGCCATTTGATTTGACTGAAGTTCGACGTACGAGAATGTGAAATAAAACACTACCTGTATTTAATTACTAAGCACGTTTTTCCTAATGCTCTTGAACAATCACATTCCAATGAAACATGAGTTTACCAGTATATTTGTGTGAGAGGGTAAAAGAGAGAGAAAGTAATAGAAACTCAGCGGTGTGTCAATTCCGTCTTTGCGTATTGCAGAGTTATCTTCTCTTGTGAGCAGGTATTGATTGTTAAGTCATTTGTTTGTGAGAGTAACGTCATCAATTTTTGAGAAAACGACGTAACTTTCTCACACAAACCAATGACGTAACAATCAATACCTGCTCACAAGAGAAGATAACTCTGCAATACGCAAAGACGGAATTGACAAACCGCTGAGTTTCTATTACTTTGATCTACGTTGCAGTCAGTCGTGCTTGGTCCGTTCCTTTAATGACTTTTTAAATGAAATATATGCAGGAAATAGTAAATGTGAGTGTACATTTTGTGCGTAGTTTGTGTAATAGCCTCGTCTTACGAGGAAATAAAGAATGCGTGTTTAATCATCACAGTACATGCTATTATGCATTGGCCCTTTTTGCATTTCGTAAGTTTTTAGACCCGGATGGTAAACATAGATGTACATCGATCTTATCAGAGAAATCCTCAGATTGATCTAAAGAGCAAAGTTGCTTAAAATAACTTAAAATAGCAATGGATCACGTCAACTGCTGTACCTGAGGGGGAAAGGCGTTTGTTTTGTACGCAAACATATTAATATAGAACTTCAAAGAGGTGGTTGTAAAATTTTACCGTTTACAGATTGGCTTTGATCAATCCGGAGTGTTTGTATTCCGAATTTGAAACATTTAAACCGGTATATCATACGGGAAATAAACTTCACATGAAAATAATCTGATTTATAGTATGACGCTGTTATCAGCAAATGAATATTTTGTAAAAAATAAAAAAAAAGGGAACTTATAACTGCGACACTTCCATTTGCTGATAAACAAAAACAAACTTGTTCATTAAGAGATAATGACAACTCGCAAGTACAACCTGATAACATGTTGTCAGGTTATCCAATACGACCGAAGGGAAATATCGACATTGCTTCCCATAGTCACTTACCCATAGTTTAGGGCGATTCATTGTTTTATACTATCGTATGACACTCCAGATAAGTATACGTTACATGTTTATGCGTTAGCATTCTATTCGATAAAAACTAGCTGTCACCGGACCGATAGCGAAACGTCCGCAAACTGAGCCCGACCGAATGGCTTCAGGTTATATGACTCATTATAGTTTTCCATATAGCAGGTTTTTACGACTTCAATCACTGCAAATTGCTTCTAAGCCAAAAGCAATTAATTGTTGTAATCTTGTTTTTGTGTGTACCTATATACTGAAATAAGGCATGAACACACAGCGATCTGCAACGTGAGGAGACACATTTTTTGTTAATTAAATCTTGTCTGCAATAGTAGAAGCCAAAAGATACAATGAAGAAGTAACAGAAACCCAGATAAAAGCATGTTTTAGCGCAATAGCTTACGAAGCTGCGATACAATATTGGATATTTACTATCTTTTATGCTATCATTTTTTGGAAAGATTAATGCATGTCTTCTTTTATTTTTAAAGATTAAACAATTTAAACTTTTAGTCAAGCATTCCTATACATCTCGGCTTTAGACATTTAATGTGCGGATTTAAGTCCATATGTATATGCTCCTACATAGTTTGATACCAGACAATAAACTTGTTTGTCTCTTGTGACAGTCACTTTGTAATCCTTTATATTCCATTTATCGACTGGTTTTTGCTTTGATGGGGTCTTACATTTTTATATTTCTTTATTCCACTGAGGACCATACAATATTCTATAGATAAACAAAGATAGGCAAAAGGTTTCCTTCGCACGAATTACTGTGTGCGCTTACTTACGTATTCTTTGCTTCGTTTAACTGAAACTATTATTGCCTTCTTTTCACAAAACATAACCTCAGTCTTAATGTAACAGTATCGTTGAATAACAATGTGAAACCATTGTACCCCAAACAGATCTGTGATATCTCTTTGTGTACAACTGTTTGTGTACGTCTCTTTGTGTACAACTGTTTGTGTTCGTTTCTTTGCGTACAACTGTTTGTGTTCGTCCCTTTGTGTACAACTGTTTGTGTTGGTTTCTTTGCGTACAACTGTTTGTGTTCGTCTCTTTGTGTACATCTGTTTGTGTTCGTCTCTTTATGTACTACTGTTTGTGTTCGTCTCTTTGTGTACAACTGTTCATGTTCGTCTCTTTGCGTACTACTGTTTGTGTTCGTCTCTTTGTGTACAACTGTTCATGTTCGTCTCTATGTGTACAACTGTTTGTGTTCGTCTCTTTGTGTACAACTGTTTGTGTTCGTCTCTTTGTGTACTACTGTTTGTGTTCGTCTCTTTGTACACATCTGGTTATGTTCGTCTCTTTGTGTACAACTGTTTATGTTCGTCTCTTTGTGTACTACTGTTTGTGTTTGTCTCTTTGTGTACAACTGTTTGTGTTCGTCTCTTTGTGTACAACTGTTTGTGTTCGTCTCTTTGTGTACAACTGTTTGTGTTCGTCTCTTTGTGTACAACTGTTTGTGTTCGTCTCTTTGTGTACAACTGTTTGTGTTCGTCTCTTTGTGTACAACTGTTTGTGTTCGTCTCTTTGTGTACAACTGTTTGTGTTCGTCTCTTTGTGTACAACTGTTTGTGTTCGTCTCTTTGTATACAACTGTTTGTGTTCGTCTCTTTGTACACATCTGGTTATGTTCGTCTCTTTGTGTACAACTGTTTATGTTCGTCTCTTTGTGTACTACTGTTTGTGTTTGTCTCTTTGTGTACAACTGTTTGTGTTCGTCTCTTTGTGTACAACTGTTTGTGTTCGTCTCTTTGTGTACAACTGTTTGTGTTCGTCTCTTTGTGTACAACTGTTTGTGTTCGTCTCTTTGTGTACAACTGTTTGTGTTCGTCTCTTTGTGTACAACTGTTTGTGTTCGTCTCTTTGTGTACAACTGTTTGTGTTCGTCTCTTTGTGTACAACTGTTTGTGTTCGTCTCTTTGTGTACAACTGTTTGTGTTCGTCTCTTTGTGTACAACTGTTTGTGTTCGTCTCTTTGTGTACAACTGTTTGTGTTCGTCTCTTTGTGTACAACTGTTTGTGTTCGTCTCTTTGTGTACAACTGTTTGTGTTCGTCTCTTTGTGTACAACTGTTTGTGTTCGTCTCTTTGTGTACAACTGTTTGTGTTCGTCTCTTTGTGTACAACTGTTTGTGTTCGTCTCTTTGTGTACAACTGTTTGTGTTCGTCTCTTTGTGTACAACTGTTTGTGTTCGTCTCTTTGTGTACAACTGTTTGTGTTCGTCTCTTTGTGTACAACTGTTTGTGTTCGTCTCTTTGTGTACAACTGTTTGTGTTCGTCTCTTTGTGTACAACTGTTTGTGTTCGTCTCTTTGTGTACAACTGTTTGTGTTCGTCTCTTTGTGTACAACTGTTTGTGTTCGTCTCTTTGTGTACAACTGTTTGTGTTCGTCTCTTTGTGTACAACTGTTTGTGTTCGTCTCTTTGTGTACAACTGTTTGTGTTCGTCTCTTTGTGTACAACTGTTTGTGTTCGTCTCTTTGTGTACAACTGTTTGTGTTCGTCTCTTTGTGTACAACTGTTTGTGTTCGTCTCTTTGTGTACAACTGTTTGTGGTCGTCTCTTTGTGTACAACTGTTTGTGTTCGTCTCTTTGTGTACAACTGTTTGTGGTCGTCTCTTTGTGTACAACTGTTTGTGTTCGTCTCTTTGTGTACAACTGTTTGTGGTCGTCTCTTTGTGTACAACTGTTTGTGTTCGTCTCTTTGTGTACAACTGTTTGTGGTCGTCTCTTTGTGTACAACTGTTTGTGTTCGTCTCTTTGTGTACAACTGTTTGTGTTCGTCTCTTTGTGTACAACTGTTTGTGTTCGTCTCTTTGTGTACAACTGTTTGTGTTCGTCTCTTTGTGTACAACTGTTTGTGTTCGTCTCTTTGTGTACAACTGTTTGTGTTCGTCTCTTTGTGTACAACTGTTTGTGTTCGTCTCTTTGTGTACAACTGTTTGTGTTCGTCTCTTTGTGTACAACTGTTTGTGTTCGTCTCTTTGTGTACAACTGTTTGTGTTCGTCTCTTTGTGTACAACTGTTTGTGTTCGTCTCTTTGTGTACAACTGTTTGTGTTCGTCTCTTTGTGTACAACTGTTTGTGTTCGTCTCTTTGTGTACAACTGTTTGTGTTCGTCTCTTTGTGTACAACTGTTTGTGTTCGTCTCTTTGTGTACAACTGTTTGTGTTCGTCTCTTTGTGTACAACTGTTTGTGTTCGTCTCTTTGTGTACAACTGTTTGTGTTCGTCTCTTTGTGTACAACTGTTTGTGTTCGTCTCTTTGTGTACAACTGTTTGTGTTCGTCTCTTTGTGTACAACTGTTTGTGTTCGTCTCTTTGTGTACAACTGTTTGTGTTCGTCTCTTTGTGTACAACTGTTTGTGTTCGTCTCTTTGTGTACAACTGTTTGTGTTCGTCTCTTTGTGTACAACTGTTTGTGTTCGTCTCTTTGTGTACAACTGTTTGTGTTCGTCTCTTTGTGTACAACTGTTTGTGTTCGTCTCTTTGTGTACAACTGTTTGTGTTCGTCTCTTTGTGTACAACTGTTTGTGTTCGTCTCTTTGTGTACAACTGTTTGTGTTCGTCTCTTTGTGTACAACTGTTTGTGTTCGTCTCTTTGTGTACAACTGTTTGTGTTCGTCTCTTTGTGTACAACTGTTTGTGTTCGTCTCTTTGTGTACAACTGTTTGTGTTCGTCTCTTTGTGTACAACTGTTTGTGTTCGTCTCTTTGTGTACAACTGTTTGTGGTCGTCTCTTTGTGTACAACTGTTTGTGTTCGTCTCTTTGTGTACAACATTTGTGTTCGTCTCTTTGTGTACAACTGTTTGTGCTCGTCTCTCTGTGTATAACTGTTTGTGTTCGGCTCTCTGTGTATAACTGTTTGTGCTCGTCTCTTTGTGTATAACAGTTTTTGTTCATCTCTTTGTGTACAACTGTTTGTGCTCCTCTCTTTGTGTACAGCTGTTTGTGTTCGTCTCTTTGTGTACACATGTTTGTGTTCGTCTCTTTGTGTACAACTGTTTGTGCTCGTCTCTTTGTGTAAAACTGTTTGTGTTCGTCTCTTTGTGTACAAATATTTGTGTTCGTCTCTTTGTTTACAACTGTTTGTGCTCGTCTCTTTGTGAACAACTGTTTGTGTTCGTCTCTTTGTGTACAACTGTTTGTGGTCGTCTGTTTGTGTACAACTGTTTGTGTTCGTCTCTTTGTGTACAAATGTTTGTGTTCGTCCCTTTGTGTTCAACGGTTTGTGCTTGTCTCTTTGTGTACAAATGTTTGTGTTCGTCTCTTTGTGTACAACTGTTTGTGCTCGTCTCTTTGTGTACAAATGTTTGTGTTCATCTCTTTGTGTACAACTGTTTGTGCCCCTCTCTTTGTGTACAAATGTTTGTGTTCGTCTCTTTGTGTACAACTGTTTGTGTTCATCTCTTTGTATACTACTGTTTGTGTTTGTCTCCTTGTGTTCTACTGTTTGTGTTCGTCTCTTAGTGTACTACTGTTTGTGTTCGTCTCCTTGTGTTCTGCTGTTTTGTGTTCGTCTCTTTGTGTACAACTGTTTGTGTTCATCTCTTTGTGTACAACTGTTTGTGTTCGTCTTTTTTTGTACCACTGTTTGTGTTTGTCTCCTGGTGTTTTACTGTTTGTGTTCGTCTCTTTGTAGTCATCTGTTTATATTCGTATCTTTGTGTACAACAGTTTGTGTTCGTCTTTTTGTGTACAACTGTTTGTGTTCATCTCTTTGTATACTACTGTTTGTGTTCGTCTCTTTGCAGTCATCTGTTTATGTTCGTCTCTTTGTAGTCATCTGTTTATATTCGTATCTTTGTGTACAACAGTTTGTGTTCGTCTTTTTGTGTACAACTGTTTGTGTTCATCTCTTTGTATACTACTGTTTGTGTTCGTTTCCTTTTTAACAACTATTTGTTTTCGTCTCCTTGTGTTCGTCTTTTTTTTGTACCACTGTTTGTGTTTGTCTCCTTGTGTTCTACTGTTTGTGTTCATCTCTTTGTGTACAACTGTTTGTGTTAATCTCTTTGTATACTACTGTTTGTGTTTGTCTCCTTGTGTTCTACTGTTTGTGTTCGTCTCTTAGTGTACTACTGTTTGTGTTCGTCTCCTTGTGTTCTGCTGTTTTTTGTTCGTCTCTTTGTGTTGTACTGTTTGTGTTCGTCTCTTTGTGTACTACTGTTTGTGTTCGTCTCTTTGTGTACAACTTTTCATATTCGTCTCATTGTGTACAACTGTTTTTGTTCGTCCCTTTGTAGTCATCTGTTTATGTTCATATCTTTGTGTACAACTGTTTGTGTTCGTCTTTTTGTGTAAAACTGTTTGTGTTTGTCTCTTTATGCACAACTGTTTGTATTCGTCTCTTTATGCACAACTGTTTGTGTTCGTTGCAGGTAAAACATCAAATGCTGCCACAGTTTGAAATATTTAATCTAGAACGAGATCTGGAGAATGTTCACGCCTGGGTATCAAATGGGGAAATAGAAGAAAACAACGCAAAAGAAATTTTCGAGAAATTATCCAAATTCTTCGAGCAGGAATCATTGTTAAACCATGATATAAACTTCTGGGCCCCTAGTTTATCCTCGAGAAGACCAGTATCGGCGCCCAGTTCTGTTCTAACAGACTGTCTTCTGACTGATCAGTTCAAAATGCTTGCAAGAAACCCGTCAGTTTTTGGTTCGGGAGTCAAAATGCTGATTGACCCGAGTCAATTGAAACCCTTTATGAAGGGTAGAAATGGGCAGGAGTTCCGGCCCGCTCCGAGGATAGTCCAATACCCATCGACACTTCTTAGGTACGCGCACAATACCGGTGATAAAAACCAAAATGGACATATCAGAAGACGAGTGTCCACTTCAAAATATGACAAATACAAAACTCAATCGTTGACCGGACATTTGCCAGTCACTGTCCACTACACCGGACGGCCTAGATACCCAATCAGCCATTCTTTACCGAGAATGTCACAACTCTCCCAGATACCTGCGCAACCTTCGCCTCGAACAAGATGGTCGGCGCCATCACCACAGCCGTCCGTGACGCAGATGCCGAGGATTATGGTCAAAGAACCCGACAGTCGGTATACAAGCATAATACACAGGAGGATACAGAACGTTGAGGGAGGAACTGTTGTCCGATACACAGCTACCTCTATGGGGAGGCAGACATCTTCCTGAGTAGTTTACTGATACCCATTGCTCTGTGTGAAGGCAGCCACTTTCCTGAATAATTTACTGACACCATTGCTCTTCGTGAAGGCGACCACTTTCCTGAGTAGTTTACTGACACCATTGCTCTGTGTGAAGGTGGCCACTTTCCTGAATAATTTACTGACACCATTGCTCTGTGTGAAGGCGGCCACTTTCCTGAATAATTTACTGACACCATTGCTCTGTGTGAAGGCGACCACTTTCCTGAGTAGTTTACTGACACCATTGCTCTGTGTGAAGGTGGCCACTTTCCTGAATATGAAGGCGGCCACTTTCCTGAACGGGTGTCTAAATAGGCAAGCATACTTGTCAATCAACCATAGTAATTAGGTCCAGTGTGAATAAACTCTGTGGTGTTCTAGGACCCAAAACAAGATTATTTTCTGTAATTTCTTATCTTGCTATTCTAGGATTTTGTATTACACTATTCAATGATTGCTGATTAAACTCATTATAATCTCTGATTTTGATTCATCCAATTTATTATTCTGATTACACAAAAATATGATTTTTATTTAACTGATATAGGAATTCTGATTACACTTATCTACGATTCTGAATTCATTTATTTATTATCTCTTTTTACACTAATCAAAAAAATCTGATTACACTAATCTATGATTCTGATTACTCTTATCTAGCATTACTGATTACACTACTCTAGGATTCTGATCACATAAATCTAGCATTTCTAATTACACTCATCTATGATTCTGAAATAATTTATCTATGATCTCTTATTACACTAATCTAGGATTTCTGATTGCGCTTATCTACGATTATGATTAATAAAAACCAATTACCTTTAACTGAGCTTGATCGGTTGATCTCAGTCGAGGGCTAAGATTCTGTAACATAATCCAAACCGAGGCATCAGCCGATGCTGCGATGTTAAAGAATCTTATCTCGTGACTGAGATAAATCGATCTCGCTCAGTTACAGGTATTAGAATGTTTTTCTCGCATCTTTTAATTCGAAAAAATCTATTCAATTTTGCTAATGACTGTAAGTGTCCCGTCTTGGGCTTCAACTTAATATGACCTCTACACTACTGAAGCTACATTTGAATGCTTCCGCGTAAAAATGCAGCCTGTCTTTACAAAGAAGACAGCAAATTTCGACGTCTAGATTATATTTTATCCAAAATATCAGAATTCTAACTACATAATTTACATTAAAACAATACATATAACGTCAAAACAGAATATCGATAACGCAGATTGTCGATTTCGAGCCGTTTCCGCGCGGATGAATACGTCGCAGTGGAAAAATTCCGCGAAATGTCACGTAAAGGTACAAGACAGATCGGACGAGTTAGAAAATTCTAGCATGGGATAGGACTTAGGATATGTCTGTCTGAGGTACGATAATACACTAATCTATGATTTCTAGTTACACTAATCTATGATTTCTAGTTACACTAATCTAGGATTTCTTATTTTACTAATCTAGGATTTCTGATTACACTAATCTAGGATTTCTAGTTACACTTCTATGATTTCTAGGTACACTAATCTAGGATTTCTAGTTACACTAATCAAGAATGTCTGATTACACTAATCTAGGATTTCTGATTACACTTATCTAGGATTTCTAGTAACACTAATATAGGATTTCTGATTACACTAATCTAGGATTTCTAGTTACACTAATCTAGAATTTCTGATTACACTAATCTAGAATTTCTTATAACACTAATCTAGGAAATCTGATTACTCTAATCTAAGATTTCTAGTTACATTAATCTAGGATTTCTGATTTCACTAATCTATGATTTCTTGTTTCACTAATCTAGGATTTCTGATTTCACTAATGTAGGATTTCTGATTACACTTTTCTAGGATTTCTAGTTACACTAATCTAGGATTTCTTATTACACTAATCATTCTAATTTATTCACATGTGTATCTTCCGGATGTGTCAGAAAATCAGAAGTACTTGAATGTTTTAGTATAAACTGCTTTGGTAAAGAGGTTTATGTCTCTCACAATAACGGTAGTAGGTGTTACTAATCACCGATCACCTATTCAATACTCAATGTAAACATACCTCCCCTCATCACATACAGGAACTTTCATATTACCTGTTTGCACAAAATACATCAGTATATATCATGAACAAAACACTCTGTTTACACATGTTAATTTTCATTTCATGTCATCCCTAATCTAAGCATGTGGTTACACATCACCCCTCGTCACAAATATAAAGTTCAATACCATCCACTTGACACCAATATGTAGTTAAATATGACCCCTCGTCACAATACGCAGTTCAATAGCATCCCTCGTCACAGAGTCGTAGGTCAATATCACCCCTCGTCACAAATATGTAGTCCAATATCACCCCTCATAACAAATATGTAGTTCAATATCATCCACCATCACAAATATGCAGTCCAATATCACCCCTCATCTCAAATATGTAATTCAATATCACCACTCATCACAAATATGTATGTCAATATCACCTCTCATCACAAATATGTAGTCCAATAACACCCACCATCACAAATATGTAGTTCAATATCACCCCTCATCACAAATATGTAGTCCAATAACACCCACCATCACAAATATATAGTTCAATATCACCCCTCATCACAAATATGTAGTTCAATATCACCCCTCATCACAAATACGTAGTTCAATATCACCCCTCATAACAAATACGTAGTTCAATATCACCCCTCATCACAAATACGAAGTTCAATAGCACCCCTCATCACAAATATGTAGTTCAATATCACCCCTCATCACAAATATATAGTTCAATAACACCCCTCATCACAAATATATAGTTCAATATCACCTCTCATCACAAATATGTAGTTCAATAGCACCCCAAATCACAAATACGTAGTTCGAAATCACCCCTCATCACAAATATGTAGTCCAATATCACCCCTCATCACAAATACGTAGTCCAATATCCCCCCTCATCACAAATATGTAGTCCAATATCATCCCTCATTACAAATACGTAGTTCGATATCATCGCTCATCACAAATATGTAGTCCAATATCACTCCTAATCACAAATACGTAGTCCAATATCCCCCCTCATCACAAATATGTAGTCCAATATCATCCCTCATTACAAATACGTAGTTCGATATCATCGCTCATCACAAATATGTAGTCCAATATCCCCCCTCATCACAAATACGTAGTTCAATAACACCCCTCATCACAAATATGTAGTCCGATATCACCCCTCATCACAAATATGTAGTTCAATATCACCCCTCATCACAAATACGTAGTTCGATATCATCCCTCATCACAAATATGTAGTTCAATTATATTCTGATCAAAGTTGTTCGAAGGATTGTAGCTTAAACATTTCAAAATATCTTACCATAACATCCCGGCGTTTTGAAGAAGCCCGTCCTTTATGTTGACTGCAGTATAATACACGTGTTGTGATGAATTACCCTATATTGAGTTTGTGATGCTACTCAACAAATACATACACACTAAATATATCTAAAACTATTGTTAGACATATGTGTCAAGATAAAAATCTCGACTACACAAACTCTTTGTCAATTATAAATAAAATATCTTCTCTTTAAGACGATTAATTATACCGTTCTTTATCATTGCTATTGGCCGTTTTGTAAGGTTAGAATTAAAACTGCACTCATACATGGCTTGATGTGACGTCATGAATACAAATTAGTTGACGTCAAGTGAACAATAATATGCTATTTAAGGATATAATATTTCCGGATAATCATACCACCAACATTGTATTTGAAGTTGGAGAAAAGCAATAATTCCTAGATGGCCACTTTTGGAACAAGACAGAAAAAATGTCAATCTTGGGGGAAACATTCTCAAATGTCTCATGGAATGGCTTCATTACATAAAAAATACACATTTCTTCTTCCCTTGAGTTTCCTTTCTCTCGTCCAGAAAATTCACAAACATGAACTGATTACAGAGCATGACGTCATTACAGGAGGAAATGTGACATAGCACGTCGTAATAACCGAGGTACATAGAGTGTACAGTGTTCTCAGACTGTCATACCTCAGCGGGCAGTGATTACCTCACCACGGCCGGTGTCCAGTAACATTCTCGTCTGTTTGTGTTAATGAGTGCTGACTTATATTCGGAAAGTTGGTCTACAAATCTATATTCGGGAGATGTTGTGCCATAATCTTGTAGAAATTATGAACAGCGTCTGATACGGTCGGTCTTAATGTAATTAATTTGATTATACGTACAGGAAAACACATCAGATTCGGACTTTGTTTTGGTTCATTCAATGATTGTGGACGACGATTGCCCTTGTTTGACCATGGGCCCAAGATGAGGAAAAGGCATCAAATTTAATCTGACATCCTCTCTATACCGACATATGACATGCGCAATCAGAGCTTCCTGTCATATAACCTTTCCGTCTTCACAGACACTGGGAGCAGAAGTCAGATTTATTTTTTGTTGTAACTTCAAAGACATGAGTATTATATATATATATATATATATACATTGCCTCTATTTTGACATCATTTTATAGTTTTAAGTACGTGATGTCATTTCATTATCATTGATCTAAGTTCCCTGTATTATTGATAAATGCCGTTTAAATAATCACATTTCTATTTATGGGACGTTCTACCATAAGGTCGACCTCCCAAGAAAGTATCCAAATTGCTATATAACCAAGTAATGAATGTTTCGTATTTATTACTTACATTATGGTTATAATACTTAAACTTGGATTCGTCCAAAACTGTATTGTTATACATTTCAGGATGTTGCGTTATGATGTCCTTACAATGACATCAAAATTGGCAATATCATTTTATTATTGGTTCAAAGTCCTTCATCAATTTAATTATTCTTAGATAAGCATCGTAATGAATTAGGCGTTTTCGAAAGAGGGCATGATCGGGCATACTTGATAGCGACGATTACAATTTCAAACTTTCTGTCTGCAAAAAGTCGATTGCACGCATGACAGTTTCACATTTGAGCAAGCGAGTGAGTTAGATATAGTTAAAACCTTAGTTATACACATCACATTAATTACTGCATTTATTCATTATAAGGATTATTAGGTCAACTTAGAAGGCGATACTCTTGCATCACCAACCAGCTGACCGTTCCACAAACTTAAACTTTATAGCACTGTAAACGCAGGTAATTTTTTCATTTAAACCTTATATTATATTTTTTAGCTTATTTGCTTAAATCCTTATTTATCTTTTAAAAATATAATAGAAAAACTATTCCTTATTTAATAGTAACATTATTGAAAAATACATGAACTATATTATAAATGTAATTGATATGATATAAATTAAATAATACGAAGCAGCGTTGATATTGGCTTCATCTTAACTTATCACGTTAAGGGACATAACTCTTACCGCCAAAATATGTTGGTGACTAATACAGGATTAAGTTAATCGTCTTTGCTGGTATGAACTACAGGGACCCGAGAATACTTT